AGGAGAGACTTTGTCTTTTGAGTATAAATGGAAGAAAAGAAAGTGATGAGAAAGTGTCTGGGCTGGGTCCTCTAAGCCATCGTTAGCGTGACAGTGTGACTTTGGGCTTGTTCAAGGTAAATGAAAGCAAGTGATGTAGGCAAGACATATCCACTTTTGTGCTGACTCTCAGCCGATAAAATATATCTTTTTCTCCATGTAGATCTTGCTTTCTGTAATAAGTAGACCGTGCAAAACAGTAGTTCACATTAGACTAGATTCCTTTTTTAATTCACAAAACTATTTCCCCCTAAAACTATTCTAACTGGAAGTGTCAATATTGGCAGAAAATGTGTAAAGATACTGTGTTAGTCCGTTTTGCATTGCTACAAAGGAAATACCTGAGACTGGATAATTTGTAAAGAAAAGAGATTTATTTGGCTCACAGTTGTGCAGACTGTACAGGGAGCATCCCATCAGCATCTGCTCCTGGTGACAGCTTCAGGGAGCTTCCAATCAAAGCAGAAGTCATGTCACATGGCCAGAGAAGGAGCAAGAGAGAGAGTAGGAGGTGCCAACCTCTTTTAAACAACCAGCTGTGGTATGAATTAATAAAATAAGAACTCATTCATAATCAGGGGGAAGGCACCAAGACATTCATGAGGGATCTGCCCCCATGAACAAACACCTCCCATTCAGCCCCACTTCCAACACTGGGGATTAAATTTCAACATGATATTTGGAGGGGCCAAACATCCAAAACATATCAGGTACTATCCTTTAATATGTTAATACATCTCGTTCCAATCTAAGAGGTTATGGGATGGGGCCGGTAAAAGGATATTTGATGGCACAAAAGTATAAAGTATAAAATTAAGTGAAGTGGATGAATATGACTGTTAAGGTCTGAATTGTGTTTCCCTAAAATTCAAAAGTTGAAGTCCTAAACCCTAGTACCTCAGAATGTAACCAAATTTCAAGATAAAGTCTTTGAAGAGGTGATTAAGTTAAAATGACGCCATTTGGCTGGGGCTGTAATCCAGTATGACTTTTATCCTTAGAAGAAGATGAAGAGACACCATGGGCACACATGCACTGACCAGAAAGAGGGTGGCCGTCTGAAAGCCAAGGAGAAAGGCTGCAGGAGAAACCAACCCTGCTGGCACCTTGGTCTTGAACTTCCAGCCTCCAGAGCTGTGAAAAAATAAATTTCTGTTGTTGAAGGCACCCAGTCTGTGGTGTTGTTATGGCAACATGAACGAACTAGTACAACACCAAAGAAGCAACACCTGGAGCCCCTCAGAGTGTGAGGCACTATTGATGATTGGAGATATTAATACTAATAATGACATGCTTTATCATGTAGAAAATATGGCTGGGTTGCCAGGATCACAAAGCGATCTACTTGGAATGAGATTTTAGAGTTAGACACACACTGCAAAAGCATTAAAGAAACTTATTTTTTCGTCTTGATAGCCAACCTGTTTAATTCAATAAGCAGTTTATTGTGCATGTATTAGGCAGACAGTGCTCTTACAGGTTCTAATCTATGGTCCTACTGAATCGGATCATTGTGACATCATAGAAACCTCCTCTTTGATTGATTGCTTATTGTTTCTTTATTGGTGGAAATCAAATTATCCCAGGATATTGGCTGGGCACAGTGGCTCACCCCTATAATCCTAAGGCTTTGGAGGATTGCTTGAGGCCAGGAGTTCAAGACCAGCCTGAGCAAAAGCAAGACCTGGTCTTAACAAAAAATAGAAAAATTAGCCAGGCATGGTGGCCTGTGCCTATAGATCCAGCTACACAGGAGCCTGAGGCAGGAAAATCACTGGAGCCCAGGAGTTTGAGGTTGCAGTGAACTATGATGATGACACTGCATTTTAGCCTGGGTGACAAAGTGAGACCCTTGTCTCAAAAAAAAAAAAAAAAAGGCTATTTGAATGCACTTATTAATGTAGCATACAAACAAGACCTATCATGATGAGACCCTTGTCTCAAAAAAAAAAAAAAAAAAAAATCCAGGATATTAATACACCCACCGAAAGGAGAAAAATAATTCCGATCTTTATTGATGTAGATGTAAGCCTACTGTTTTCTCATGGAAATTGTTCAAATCTGTACCACAAATTGAACATTTCTGTGTTATTAACATTCTACCAATGTGCTTTGGCAACATTGTAAAGTTTTGTTGTCCTGAAATAGATTTCCAAACCCTTTCTAAACTAAGAGAAATTAATAATCAAGATAGAGGAATACCAACTTCCTGGGTTCACACATATAAAACACAATACTGAAAATTATTAGAAATATCATTTTGACCTGAAGTAGAAAAATAGATTTCGGGTTTGTCTTTGTCTGTTTTGTGCTGCTATAACAGTCTGAGACTGAGTAATTTATAATGAACAGAAATTTATTGGCTCACAGTTCTGGAGGCTGGGAAGTTGATCAAGGGCAAAGAGTGGAAAGGGGTGGGAAGGGCAAAAGGGAGCCAAATTCATCCTTTCATAAGGAACCTAGTCTTACCATAACTGTACTCTTGTGATATTAATAGTGGCATTAATTAATTCATGAGGGCAGAGCTCTCATAACCTAATCACCTCTCTTTAGGCCCCACCTCCCAACACTGTTACATTGGGGATTAAGTTTCTATCACATGCATTTTGGAGGATACATTCTAACCATAACAGAGTTAAAAATGAAATTTTTCATTTTATGTGAAAACTATCACTTTACATTTTTACCTGAGTGTCAACAATACAGAAAAATGCATCAGTGTAGAAATTATTAAATAATATACTGATGACATACAGTTTGAACAACCATGGATATTAAAGCTGACTCATAAACAGCAAATTGACATAGGGACAAATTTTCAAAATGAGTTAGGAAGTTCTGGCAATGGTTTTATGTATCAATTTATCTCAATTTCTCAAATTTCCATTCTCTAATTATTCATTCCAATTGTAAACTTTCTAAAAAGGAAAGCCTATAAGGAAACTTAAATTTTTCTTCTCAAGATTCTATAATACCACAATTTAAAATATTTTAAAAAATGTTGAATAAGTAAGAAACCATCAGAAGTAAACTGGAAATGAATAATCCAAGTGGGCAAATAAATATACCTACCCTATAAAGAGCCTTATTTGATGATTATCTAGTAAGCACCAGTATGGTGTTTTTTTTTGTTGTTGTTTTTTTTTTTGTGGAACTAAAAAATTTAACTAATAGGAATATTGTATTGTCAAATTCTTGAAATTGAACTCTGGTATCTGGCAATATATTTTTTTTAACCACAGTACTAGATTTTTATTTAAATTTAATTTTCTTAAATTCAAATGTATTAACCTGATTTTTTAAAAAAATCTATAATATGGAGAAACATGAAGTTGGTCTATAAAAAAGGAAAAGAAGAAACTTTGGTCTATAAATGAGGAAAATGGGCTCTAATATGCTTTCTTTGACAGGTCACAGTCCTTGCATATGTGTTCTCATAAAAAAATGCGTTAGATCAGAAGTGTGACGTTATTTCTAAAATAATCTTTGTTTTCAACCATTTCATGACTTTTCAAAGTCTTCTAAAAAAGAGGTAGGATATCAATTAAATTTGTAATTTGTCAAAATCAAATGAGCAAATAAATATGAAGATTCAAGGAAAAGATCACAAAAGGTGGTCGTAGACATCCGAGGTGCGGATCAAAGACGGCTGTAAAGTGAACAGAACTGTTACAAAACCTTAAAAGCTATTATGATCCATGGTTAGTAAATGAAACCAGATAATATTTCAATTATCATTTACCAGGCTTGCTTTCCTTGTCATTGGATTTGGGTGGTTATTGTATTTGTGACAATATGCATTGATAATTTCTTCCCTCCTACCTATGCACCTTCAGCTCCATCCCCACCTCCACTGAACTTTCGCACCTAGGTATTGCTTTCTCAATGTTAGCTTTTCCTTATAATTCCATATATAGTCAAGTATTCCATACATGGAATAGTTAATTAATTTGGCAACTGGGATATTAGAATTATGTATCATCTAGGCAGTGATATTTTTGTAGTGTTTGCTGTGTAGACTGTATTTCATTTATATTAAATCTTCGGAAAATAAACCTTATTTCACCAGAGCCTAGCAGTGACTGGCACAGATTCGAATGAATAAAGTAGATGCAAGATGTCAATGTTCATTTATGTAATGATTAGTTAAGCAGGAAAGTAGATCCCAGAATAAGGACTTCTGATAGCCTTTTGCTTATTTGACTTTTCCCTTCGGGCAAGTTTATTGCTTGTGAAATTCCTAGAAAGGCGAGGGGAGGGAACGAGTGACACAGAAAGGAGCGGGAGTTCGGGATCCTGGGTAGTTTTTGGACGTTACAGGCATGTTGGGAAATGTTTGTTTTGGAGGCTTTGGGCAAGCCGAGGATAGGACACGTCCTGGTCGCAGGGAGGAGCGCTGCCCTCTGGCCTCTGCTCAAGCTTTGCAGAGTCTAGGGCAGGCGTCGGTGCAACCTGCCGCAGGGGCGGCTCCCCGGCCCAGCCCGCGGGCTCGCTCTCAACCCGCAGGGGAGCGCCCGGCCAGCGCCGGGTGGGCGGGACTGGCCGGAGGGGCGGGGCTACGCGTCGGCCCAACCCCGCCCCACCGCACCGCGGGTCACAATGTAGGGTTAGGGCGGCGGGAGGGCGGGGCTCTGCGGGGGAGGAGCCGCCGGGAGGGGGCGGTGACGACGGTTGGGGGCGGGGAGGGGAGGAGGAGTCGGGGAGGGAGGAGGACAGCGCCATTCCGGCCGGCCGCTCCCTGGTCCCCTCTCTCCCTTCCCCGCAGTGGCCCGCGAGCCGCCTGGGAAAGAGCGCGCGGACGCGTGACGCTGCCCGACTTGCTCGCGCCCTCCCGCGCCCCGGCGTCCGCCGCCCGCTCATGGCCCGGGCCGCCGCGGACAAGCCTCTCTGAGGCGGGCCGCGAGGAAACGTGGGGCCGCCCTGGCCCTCGCAGCCCGCGCTTCGCCGCCTGCCCACGGTGCCCGCGCACGCCGGCCGCCATCGCCTTCGCGCCTGGCTGGCGGGGGCGCTGTCCTCCCCTGCCGTCCGTGCCGCTCCCTGGAGCTCGGCGGAGCGCGGCAGCCAGTGCCGGCTGAGGCGCGAGGAGCCGGACGCCGCCGCCGCCGCCGCCGTCGCCGCGGGGGCCATGACCGTGGAGCAGAATGTGCTGCAGCAGAGCGCGGCGCAGAAGGTGAGGCGCGCCGCGAGCCGTCCCGGCCCTGCTCCTTCCGACGTGCTGTCCCCTCCCGCCGCCGCTCAGGCCTCGGCTGCCCCGGGCTTCCTCCTCCGCCACCCTTCGTTCCTGCTGCTCGCGGTGGGGGCGTCGCGCCCAGTGCCAGGCTGTGTGTGGGAAGAGGGGTGTAGTTTGAGGGTTTGAACCCACTTCCTTCTGCCGATTGTTTTCTGGTAGCAGGCGGTGCCAGGTATTGAGAGCGACCCTCACATTCCTACAGTGCTTCTTAATTAAACTTTATTCTCCCTCCTTTAAAAAAAAGGAGTCAGTTGTCATCCCTTCTGAACAGTTTGTATTTGGAAGGTAGTATTCCAGACCTGCTTTTTTGCAAAAAAACGTTTCCACCAAATTTGAATTATCTGCCTTGCGAGATTTGTGCACTGGCCAGGTGGACTCTATTTAGAAGTAGATCGTTTGGTTGGTTTCTTTTCCTTTTTCCATTTCTTTCTTTCTTTTTATTTCTGTGAATATAGAAACCGTCCGTGAGAAAGGAAACCTTTCTGGCCGTGTTATTCCAGGAATCTTTTGTCCCCTAAGTTTGACCTTGTTCCATCGTTCACCCTTTACACTTGGATCAGTTATACATTCAAATGATCACTCACTAAAGCAAAA